TGTATTTAGGGGTCCTAGGACAGGCAGAGGGGGGAGGAAGGGGGGGTACAAGGCAGGGCACTGCTCAGGGTGGAGTGTGGGGGGGTCACACAGTGTCCTGGACTAATGGGTCCATCCCCTTCCTAAGGGCCTGCATGGCCCCTGCTCTGTCTGTCCCAGCCCCTGTGTCAATTAGCTGTTGTTAAATGAAGTCAGTTCCATTAAAAATAAACCCAGTGCCTTTTCAGTTCCCAGTGTCGTGTCCTGATGGATTGGCTCACTTCGCTAGCAGAGCTGTCCCCTGAGCCACCTTTGGGCAATGCTCTGGGCTTGGGGAGCAAGATGTGCCCAGCAGTTGGGCATCTTTAGGCCCTGGGTGAATCAAGGGGGGGTGTGGGTGTGTGTATCTGTGTGTGTGATGCCCCAGCCGGCTGCAGTAGCAGGAAGGACTCAGTGCCCTCAGGGATAGCCACAGCCACCTCCACCCAGGTGCCCACCAGGATTTCCCACTGGCAGAGCCCCTTGATCCCTGGGACCCGGAGATGCTCTCAGCTCCAGTTCCTACCCTCAGCAGCTACCCTCGGGTGTTTTTGAGGGAGCTGGACTGTAAGTGAGTCTATTGGGCCATGCTTTTGCTCCCAGGCTCACTGGCTTGTGCTCCAATGGACATCATCAGCACCATTGCCCAGCCATGCTCCTCCCATGAAAATGAAGCAAATAGTATTTCTGTAGACCCCTCTTAAGATAGCTGTGAAGATGTGATGTATCTGTATGTGGTGGGTGGCGCTAAGACTGCAGGCAGATGAGTGGGCCTCCCATGGAGGGGGAATGCCCTCATTCCACCCTGTCCTAATAAAAAACATTTGGCTATTTGGGGAACTGGGGTGACCTTCCTTCCAGCCCTGCTCCTGGGTGCCTACAGACTCCTGATCCACATTGGATGTAGCTGGAACACATTCCCAGGTCCAGCACAGCCCCTGAGGCCTTTCAGGTACAACTGGCATTGGTAGACCCCAGGTGTGGTGCACAGAATGGCCCATGGACGTCCCAGAGGAGGGTGTCACAAGAAAAGGCCCAACGAAGCCCCTGCACTGCAATGAGAAACTCTGAAGACACCAAAATTCACTCAAGAGGCTCTTGCAGGTGTAGAGACATGGAGGGTCCTGGTGTGCATCAGAAGGGTCAGACAGACCTCCAGGGAGTACTGCTTCCCACAGGAGCTGCAGCTCCAGAGCCTGGAGGCTACAGCACAGATCCAAGTCCCACTCCATCCCTTCTCCTTGCTGCTGGAGAAGATGGGTGTCCTGGCGTGGGGGGAGAGCTCTGAGACAGCATGGGACAGGCAGGGAGCTGAGCACAAGATGACACAATTTGGCAGGTGCTTTCCAGGCTACTTTAATAACAAATGAACAACATGCGGCCAGACCTCCTGGTCCCAAGGAATCATTCATAGACAGCCGGTGACCCTGCGGCTGCTTCCCCACGGCCCTGCACTTCCCAAAGCCTGCAGGCTCTCCCCTCTGTAAAAAAGCAGCTCCCACCAGCCCACAGAACATCTCCCATTCACTGGGACAGTCTCCCGTGTCTGGTCTCCTCCCCACCTGAGGCTGTTGCTCAGGAACCAGGCACATCAGCAGAGGAGAGGGGCCCCAGGGAGCCCTGGCAGTCCCCAACATCCCCTCCACCTCTCCCAGGCAACACTGGCAGCGTCTCCAACTCCCAAGACCTGCACCAGGCCCCTCCACCGCAACACAAAACCAACTTAAAAAGAAGCCAAAACTGGGCAGGTGAACTTAAACCCACATCCCGAAACAACGGAACTGTCTCCAAAGGCCGGCCCAGGACAGTGCAGCCATCACCGACCTGGTCAGCAGCTCTGTCCTCCAGAGCTGGCCCTCAAAAACCAAACCCAAACGAACTCAAAGCAAAGCTGGAACAGGACCAGGTCCCCAGCGGGGCTCGCACACCACTCCCGCAGCACCGAGGCTTGCGGCTCAGGTTCAGCTCATGGTCCAGGTAGAACGGTCGCCCTACGTCGGCCGGCATCCTGCGATGGAGAGGGAAGAGTCAGGATCTGTGTGGTGCTGCAGGGATCGGGACCCCAAACCCCCCTCCCCTTGTGTCCTCTGCTTCCCACTGGGAATCGCCCCTGGAGCTCAGAACCACTGGGGCCACATCTGGCAGGAGGAGTGACTGTTTCAGCCCTGCCAGGCTGAACACCAGAAGCATCCACAGCTCCACGTTCCCAGACACTCAAAGATTTTGGGAAAGGCTGGAGAGGCGGGGGGGAGATTCAGCACCGACGCCGTGCGAGGACTCACCCAGCATCCGGAGAACCTGCAGCGCCAGCACGACCTTCGCCTCCTCGTGCCCGCTCCTGCCTAGTCCGGCTGGCCGGACCCACGTGAAGCCGCTGAACGGCACAGGGCACCCAGGGATCACCACCCGGCACCAGAACCGCAGCCACCCGTTGGGGTTTGCTTGGATGCACCTGGTGACAAACAGGGGGGTCCCCAGGTGCCGCCTCCGACAAAGGGTGTTCAGGTGGTCCAGAATATCATGCAGCACCGGAGATAGGGGCGGCTGCTTAGGGAGCCCCAGGCACTTGTCCTCTTGCATGTGGCTGGGTGATGGCTTCTCGTACGACTGCAGCTTCTGTTTCAGATCGGGCTTCAGCCAGTCCACCCTTATCTCCAACCCACCCAGTCTCACGTTCCCTAGAAGAGATCGGCAGCAGCTGGCAGGAGATGCTCACCCACCAGCCCTACAGCATCACCCCATCCCGCTCTGTCCCCTAGAAACTCTCAGGAAGCAGCTGCCTGAAGATGTCCAGCAGTCCCCTTTACCCCCCCACCAGTAGGTCTGCAGAAGGACTGCTGGAGATCAGCCCCACTGAAGGACAGCCAGTAGTTTCCCAGAGAGAGAGAGAACGTGAAATATCTCAAAGCTGAAGTCACCTCAGCAGCTGAGTCTGGAGGTGGGATCAGTCCTTTCTTAGAGACACGCAGAATCACAGAATCATTAAGGCTGGAAAAGACCTCAAGCCCAACCATCAACCCAACATCACCACGACCACTAAATCACGTCTCAAAGTGACACATCTACATGTTTTTTCAACAACTCCAGGGATGGCAATTCCACTACTTCCCTGTACAGCCTGTTTGAATGTTTTATCACTCTTTCATGGAAGAATTTTTTCCTAATATTCAATCTAAACATCCCCTGGTGCAATTTGAGGCCATTTCAGGGAAGACAGGAAGACAAACCCAACCAGCATCCCACAGCACCTCCCACTCACCTTCCATCAGGATTTTCTTGGCCATGGCAGCAGCCTGGTGCGAGTTGTACTTCAGCACAGCGAGCTGGGCCCGTTTCTGACGGGGGCTGGCATACAGGGTGACACTGAGGACCCCCTCCGTGACTCGCCGCAGCATGGCCTCCAGCTCCCATCGCCTCATCGAGGTGGCCAGGCCATCCACGCTCAGCTCGCACTTTTCCGTGCTCTTGCACACCACGATGGCGCAGCCCCGTCGCACCTCGAAGTTGTTGAAGGCAGCGATGGCGTCCTTGGCACTGCGCCGGTTGCTGTACTTGGCATAGGCGAAACCCCGGTTGAGGCCACTGAAAGTCATCATGAGGCGAAACTCATAGAGCTTTCCCACGCTCTGGCAGAGCGGGATCAACACGTTCTCGTAGACATCCTGTGGCATGAACCCCTCTGGGCCAGCCGGCGGAGGGTCGCCCACCCAGCCTGCAGATGCAGAGTAAGACCCACCTCGTCTCTGTGCCTGGCAGCCACCCAGCACGCCACGCTCCCAGGGCACCAAAGCACTGAGATGGTCTTCTCACGTACCTGGGGGAGGGCCACCATATCGCCTCTGCCCGTTGATCTGCACCAGGTCGATGCCCGATTCTTTTGCCCAAGCAAGCAGAGCCCTCTTGTTGGCCTGGTTGATACTGTCGGTCCATGTCTGAGGAGGGACGTGACATTGGCACTTGTCTGAGCAGAGTTTCCAGCCTCCCAACTGAGGGTATTTTAACCTCAAGCCAGCACATGGGAGAGCAAATGTTGAACCCCTCAGGAAACCTGAGGAGCCTCTCAACACTGCACATCCAAAGGACTGGAAGTTTGAGTAGATCTCTAGTAGAAACCCCTTCCAACCCTTGACATTCTATGATTCTATGACTACCCTGCCCACTGTCCAGGTTGGCTTCACATGACCAGATCCAGCAACTCTGCCAGAGTGCGAGGACACCAACAGTTGCCCTGCGGTGCCTGCAGGGGGTCTGAAAGCCAAGACACAGGCAGCAGCTGATTGGTGCTGCAGGAGGGAGCTGGAGCACAGAACCAAGGTGACCCATCACATCAGGAGATCCCAGGCAAGCTGGGACCCCAAGACAGTTAACCCTCTTCTACCAGCATCTCCTCAGGCTTCTAAGGACATCAAGGAGGATCTGGAGACACCATCCATGTGGCAACACCATCAAGTTTCAGCTCATTAAGTAATGTGAAGTCTCATTAGG